TCGTCCTTAGTGCACGCGCTGAACTATATATTACTGATATTTAAATACGTTGATCTCAGTTAAATTTGATCTACATAGAGGAGCCTGTGGAGGAGGCAGACAACTTGATGAATCACTTCACAATAAGACGTGCCAAGACCGCACAAATTACGTCAGTTCAAAACATGTCGTGTCAGTTCACGTGGACGTGAATCATTTCACATCTTGTTGAATCATTTCACATTTAGTTGAATCATTTCACATCTTGTTGAATCATTTCACATCTTGTTCTGCCTCGTACCCAGGCGTCTCTTTGTAAAAAAGCAGTGATGCCCATATGACGTGTTTACATGAAGTATTGTAGTGGGGAGAGATGGCGAAGGGGCTGATGGGAAGAGTGCACTTGAACTGCGAGACGCCTGGCAGTTCTTGGTCGATTTCTTGCAAATTTGTACGATTTCTTGCAAGTTGTGCTATTTCGTTGTCGTTTACGATTTTTTGCTACGTGTTTTTGTTGAATTGACTAATGTTAATATTCTTCTGTCATCCGGGCGTGAATTCATGTTGCTATTCTTGGTATATATGACATATATATGCCCTTAAAGTCCATGGAAATTCCAATATTAACATGTCAACAACCGAAGCGTTGAAGAACTAGACTTGCAGGAACTAGATTTGTAAGCTATAACTATATAAAGGTACAGACTATAAAATTGCACTATTGTAATAAATATTTCAAACTTTACGGCTGTGAACTTTTATTTACTTGGGCTTTTGTTTACAGTATACATTTAATAAAAATTGCCATTGGCATTGTGATCGACTGATTGAGCTTTCAGCTAAAGAAGTTATTAATACAAAAGCAATTATATGACTTTCTAATCATTTCTCTGTTACTGTTTTATGCTAACTGAGCAACTGATAGCATTTTATTATTCTCCATGTAATATCGAATGACATATTCGAAATATTCGCACGGTTAACTTGTCATGTTATTTACTCATAATTTTTCGCGCATTTTGCATGTCATCGAACATCTACAAATGTATTATTATTTGCCAATGGCGTTCAATTCAACTCTTCATCACAAAGTAAGGTTTTACACACAGAGTATATGACGATATGGTAACTTTTTGTATAAAATTCCCTGTTTTCCCGCCATGACAGTATACAAGAACTGCCAGGCGCTCCCCAGGACGCACCCTTCCCAACAGCCCCTTCGCGCGTCGGATGCCTACCTGAATACTTCATGTAAGCGCCTGGGTACGAGGCAGCATCTTGTTGAATCATTTCACATCTTGTTGAATCATTTCACATTTAGTTGAATCATTTCACATTTAGTTGAGTGATTTCACATGGTATTGAATCGTGTCACATCTAGTTGAACGATGTCGCATTTAACTGAGTGATTTCACATTGCATTGAGTCGTTTCACATTTAGTTTATTTATTCCACATAAGGTTGAATCACGTCCCATCTAGTTGAATCATTTCGTATTTAGTTGAGCAATTTTAAAACACAGCGGATGGTTCTAAAAAGCATGAATTATTTGCCAACCGAACGTGTCACTTGTATACGACCTGCTAAGTCATTGCAAAATATGCCAAGCCATTTCACTTGAGCTATATGAATCAGCGCAATAATAGACGAATGAATACACAATCAAGTGAATCGTTTCAATTTTAAACAAATCATTTCTGGACTTGTCCAGTCATATCACTACGTTAGGTTCAAGCATTTCTAAACATGATGACTCGTTCGTGTTTGTAATGAATGATTTCTGTTTATGTCCATTCATTTCACACGTGTAGTATTTTTGGTGGTAACGGCCGCCCATAGTAAATAAAAGCCGCAATGACAATGACACAGTTTTTATAATTATGGTTGCCATGGTTACCGATATAATTACCCCCAGCAGCCAAAAAATGGTGTTGCAATAAAAAGGATTACAAAACAATCAAACATGATAAATGTCCAAAAATGGTAAAAATAGATACTATTATATCACATCTATGCTGTGAACTAGGATCTTTAAAAAATATTGAGTTTTAGTTGGGGTTTTTTTAAGGAGTTGATGTTGCGTATATTTTTATACACTTTTTTGTCAGACAAATAGTGATTGTGCCTAGACAATATAACCAATCAAAACCATTCACAGCATAAATATATTACATACAAAGCTTCATAGAAAATTTCAAGTCAATTGGTTCATTACTTCAGGAGATATCGTTTTTACCGTATGGCTAATTACATCAAAATTTGATATTGAGTAAATTTACTCTAAAGTTATGCATGTTCAGCAATGGCAAGGAAGTACCTGTAACTTTCAATAAACAGCTTAAAATTCTCCACAGGCATATATACTGCCTTTCTGCTTGCTTCTGCTAGTCTAAATATTCAGTGTAGTGCAGCTTCAAAGATCCTACAAGCCCCTTCCGGTTCCATCGCTGGTGCCGATCTTTCAAAATTAGCTTAGCATTTTGACTTGTGGTCAATTTTCCAGGCATTATTCTTTGGGGTGTATCATCCTTATGTATGTTACACGTACAGCTTACAAAACGTATTTAGAACTTCCATATCAACAAATTTTCCAGTGTTCATTGAGATGGTAGTAACACACCCATTTATCGACGAGAAGTACCATCACATGAAATGTCACAGTCAGCAACTTCATCTTCAGACTTATCTTTAAGCACATGTATTTCCCTGGCAGCATCACTCAAGGTTTCATGACAAACTTCTTTGGCAGCTTTTAGAAGAGCTTTGTTATGTGAAGCATAACCTTTCAGCGGATAAGCACCACAGCCAGCCGATCTCATCACATTCGCATAAACCAATCTCCTGTTCACTTCAAAGAAATAATTTATTTTTGCAGAAGTGCAATTCCTTCCAATTACAGCCTTTTCAATTGCAGCACTAAACTTGAAGTGCAACCCTTACGTTTGGAAATGTTTTCAGTCTGTTCCAAATTAAACTGCTGGCATTGTTTACAGGGCAACATTTTAAAAATGGTTGATAATATTGCCAGTTAAATAAAACGGAAACCTATCGCTTCTACTTCTGTGTTTTCACGTCTCTGGGGTTCTGGTGTACCGATTTTTCGAGCGGATGCTGAAGGTTCTTCTGGTGGACTTGCATTGGCATCATTCTATAAATATAGCATAATTTTATCATTTGAAGATGAAGTCGCACTCTAGGTTTGCTCGCTTTTCCTGCCTTATGGCATGGCGATTTCCATAAAATTTCCATTCCTTAGAGTTCCCTGAACAAGTTTTCCCCGTTTCAGATTAGATATTTCAGCAATAAGAACAAAATATGAAAGCAAATTTCCCACGTACAACAATATAAACACAACAAGATGGCCGACCAAAAATTTTCGATATATTTAAGAGCAAGAAAACGTCGCAGAATAGATACCGGACCAGAAGTGTCACTCCTATTTGTTTTGGCTGAAGGAAAACGTCCGAAATTTTTTTGCGTGCTATGACGCCATCCTGGAGTGCACCCGGCACTTTGTACCTACTATGTTTTCCTCACTGAACTATATAACATGGAAGTCTGACTCGAGCTCAAAAAGTGAAGCCAACATGGCGGAATTTGAAGGCATTCTTGCGCGTCATTCTCAGTCCCCTTACGTGCGCGGTCAACAAAACTTTTATATTTTTCTTTACTTTCCGAGTAAAAATCTGGTGAAAAACATACGAAATTTGAATGAAAAGTTGAATTCTGGTATTTTGTTTGGGTTCGGTTATAAATTTGAATTATTATTTGTTTAGGAGATGTGATATTTGAGTGGAAAGAAAGCAAAATAGCGCTGGCCTGATTGCTGTTTTTGTAAAATGACAAGGAGTGACAAAACAAAACACAAGTCACTCAATCTTTCAAAATATCTCTATTGCCCCTATCGACAAGAGTTTCACACACATGAATAACTCATTAAAATGAACAGTTTAAGTTCATAAGGCAAACATCAAAGTGATTTTATTGAATAAAAAATAAAAAAACAAAATTTTCTTACATCTATGGAATTAAATTGGCTAAAAAACTGCCTCGAAAACTGCAGTTAAAAAGCAGTTTTAGGTCAGGAAAACGGACTAAAATAAGCTAAATAATGGTGTGAAAATTGAAAAGCACCATAGAAACAAAAAAAGACAACCAAAGCAAAAATAAATTCCCAATTTATAAAAATACAGATTTTATATAAAAAAAAAGTTTGAAACTAGTTGTTGAATTCGCAACGAAAAATACAGATTTACTCACACATACAGTGGGAAAATGCAGTAGACAGATCGATTAGATGAAGGAAATCAGGTTTACATGAAATAAATAAAGTTTATTTCTTTTTTGCTCTTCTAAAATGAAGAAAAACACAACCCGAGAGTCGCGGATCCATCACTTCCCGCCATGAAAATACAAAAATTGTTTGGCCGCGCGGGTAAGGGGACTGAGAATGACGCACAAGAATGGCTTCAAAATCCGCCATCTTTGGCTTCACTTTTTGATTACGTCAATGACTGAAGTCAGCCTTCCATGTATATAGTTCAGTGGTTTTCCTATGAAAAACTTCCGTGTGCACTCCAGGATGGCGTCATATGATGGCGTATTTTCACGTCAGCACTCGTAAAATTTCGTCTGAGTGACACTTCTGGTCCTGTATCTATTCTGTGAAAACGTCATGTAAGACAGAATTAAGAGACCTAAATATGAATAGAGTAGGGGGAGGGGTGAGGAACTTTGTTCATTGATCTATGCGGAAAAATCACAGAATACTGAGCATCTATTGGAGCATTTTCATAACAAAGTCGGTTGCTAAGGGCGTTGCTAAGGACATAAAAGCCTAATAGCACTGAAAAACATGGTTTTCGTCGCTTTGCCCGCGCGGGCGGAGCGGGCTTTGAAAATCTACTCACGCGGGCGTGACGGGCATCAAAAACTGATGAATGAACGCGCATGCACGTAGCGTGCTCCGGTCGCGCTGTGAACTAGTTGACTATGTAATTAGTGGCGTATCTTACTATGTTATTGAGAAGGACGAAAAGTATTGCTCATTTTTGTATCTGCGCGTAGCGCTAGATACTATGCTATCGAGTTTGTGTGTGCGTGCGTGTGTGCGTTAAACACTCAGGGGCCGGTTGTTCAAAAGCCGGTTAACGCTTACCTAGGGTTAAATTTGCTTAACCTAGGGTTAAATTTTAACCCTAGGTTACTTTGCGTTGTTCCAAGCTAGGTTATCCTTAAACCTCGGTTAAAACAAAGGATAAATTTAACCCTCCTCGCTAGGTGGGTTAACTTGCTAATCGGCCGGTTAACTCGTATTCAAAATGGACGTCGAAGGAGTGAAAAAAGAAAACATATAAAACTCTTGGTGAAACAAACAGTGTACATAAGATTTTATGGAGGAAAATCAACCTCAAAAAGTAAATTCTAAGTCTATAAATACTATTAAGATTCTTATTCGTCCCGTATGAGCCTTTGAAATGATTTATACATACAAGTTGACTTTGAATTTATGTACGAGCATTAGAGTGAAAGATACCGGCAACTTTTTGTCCATTTTGGGGTGCTATGGTCTAAGCATGGACATCATAATTTACTGTTTTATTCTGTTACTGTGGAAATTAAAGTACTTTAGTTTACAAAACGCCAATAGGAACAGCTACGTCTGCCGGTTTTCAAAATATAGTTTGGTACACAAATGCTGTATAATTCAAAGTTCATTTGATTGGCTGGGATTTTGTTCTCAAGCAATTTAATTATTCAAGCACTGCCTAAAATTCCAAAATTGATTTATTTAAATAATGGTTTGCCGCTTTAATCAAGTATATTTTTTCTTGAGACTTTCAAAATGCTTAAATCATGTCTGAAATGTTCAATTTCAGTTGCCTATTACTTGTTAAAAAATATTTCTCCCATCTATCCCATTCTATCCCTAGTTTTGACACTTACTTTCCAGCCAATCAAACTGAAACGTTCTTATACTACAATTATTTTTAAAACAAATTTAACCTTGGGTTAAATGCCTTAACCCTGGGTTAACTAACAGCACGTCTAACCCACCTTTGAACAACACAGTTTTAACTCAGGGTTAACTAACCCTGGGTTAAGGATTTTAATACAGGGTTAGCGCTAACCCTGGGTTAAAGTTAACCAGCTTTTGAACAACCGGCCCCAGGTCGACTAATTAGGACTGTATGCCTGCGAACAGCCTGTAAAACAAAGATGGCCGCTTTCTATAGAGTATAGAGTGACGATTGTTTTAATATCATAGAAGTTTTTTTGGAGCGATTGCAGAATATCCAGCCACTTTTGAAGACGTACATCGCTTGTTATCATGATACGATGATACGAATCATAGACACAATTAGGCTAAGGTTAGCTTGCTGAAATAGTCTGAACTATAAAGAATGTTCAATCAAAAGGAATAGCACTAAATAGTAATATCAGTAAAGAAACCTTTCGGAAAATGTTGTAAACAAAAGACTATTATACATTGAATGACAATTTTCGTGCTACACAATGTTACATGTGGAATTCATTGACAATTAGTAACTCGTACAGTATTACATGTTGGAATTCTTTGACAATAGTAACTCCTTTACTTTTGGTAAAATATCGTGAATTTTCAAGAAATATTGTAGTTTTTTTGCTAAAATTTTGGTAATTATATAAAATCTGAAAGTTTTAATTATTAATAATCATTTTGGTAAAAATGTGTGTTTCTTGTGTAATAACGTGCTCAAAGTGATGAACAGATTATTACTTTGCAAAAACTGGAATACGATGAAAGCAACAACTATTTCAAGATACCTTTTTGGACATATTTTTTCTACTTTGATGACGTGACTATTGTTTTTTGGCATTATTATGACGTAATTATTTGGGAAGCCGACTTTTGATATTTTTTTTTTAATTTAGTAAAATTTGAATCACAGTAAAATTAAATTAAATTATTTAGTAAAATCTGGTCACACTACAGATCAGACTACTCATACTGATTACGCAACATGACTGCTACTTCAAAAAAGAAGCCCAAGGGGCGGACCATTTGACTTTTGAGCGGGGGGGGGGTTGGAAGATTCAGACTGTGCAAGAATTTTTTCCGCCCGGGCAACAAGACAGATATTTTTTTTCCTGTAAAAGTGCAACGCAAGATATTTTTTCCCAATATATTTCGCGGCAGGATATTCAGTCTGGGATTTTCAGTCAGTGGAGGCCGAGAACTGAATCCCAAGAGGCGCGAAGGAATTTTCGCTGTGCTGTATTTTATATGGTTAGGTCTTAATGTTCCCCACACTAAAGCGTGCAGGTTTACTTACAAAAAATGTATAACTGCACCAAAACCTAAAATAAACATGCAGTGATAGAGTAGAGTACTCGAAAATGGGGGAGGTACAGTATATGAATGACCTGTAACCATGGGGGGTTCGGGAGCATGCTCCCCCGAGAAAATTTTAAAATTTGAACCTCGGAAATAGAATATTTGCTTGCTAATAGGAATTTTATGCCTTTCAGCCTGAGATATTGGGGTAAATAGATTATAATTGATAAGTAATTATAATTGATTATAATTGGTTATTATAATTGATAAGCAGGTGGTGGAAGGATAAGAATTGATTTTAATATTTGAACTGTTCTCCATGTTGTTGGGGATTGTTCTACTGTTCTCCATGTTTTTGAAGATTTTAATATTTGAACTGTTCTCCATGTTGTTGGGGATTGTTCTACTGTTCTCCATGTACAGTTTGGAGATGTTTTGTTATGAGTATATAGGCCGGTACTTTTGGCCATCCAGGGCTCGTAACTTACGGCGACTCTAAAAATGTCAGCCATACTTGCCCTGTGAAAAGTTTATTCGATTATCATCGTTTTTCATGCGGCTCAACGATGATGTATATTAATCGCAGTTGTCATTTATCAATATTTTATTACATGTTCATTCCATTAACTGTTCTCCATGTTGTTGGGGATTGTTTTATCCTGTACATGTTCTCCATGTTTTTGGGGATTTTAATATTTGAACTGTTCTCCGTGTTGTTGGGGATTGTTCTACTGTTCTCCATATACAGTTTGGAGATGTTTTGTTATGAGTATATAGGCCGGTACTTTTGGCCATCCAGGGCTCGTAACTTACGGCGACTCTAAAAATGT